TATACAGAAGAAATCTAAAAAGTTGCTATGTTACAAAGTAAAGGTCTCGTTGAAGACTGGGTTTAGGTTCTTCTGAATGGTCTTGGTCTTCTTTTTGGTGCGGCCCGATCGATCCGGATGCATTTGCACTGCAATATAGGGATCGCTGAAGCCATTGGTATCCATGGGTATGAGATTAGCGGCCTCCTTGACTGCGTTTTAAAATAAAATTTAGACTTTTAGTATGTGAAATTAGCTGAACAACTTACTATCCACTTTCAAGTTGTTGCCCTTGAGCTCCACGAAGATCAGCAGTTTGCCACGCACCTCACTGATATCAGCTCCACACATTGGTGGCACAGTGTCCTGGCAAGCTTGGTGCACATTGAGGTTGCAATCTGAAGGATTGGGTTAAATATCTTAAAAGGATTAGAGCTAAAGATAGATTCCCCAACTCACTCTCGCACTTAACACCCTGATGGGCTACTCCATGGAGCAGCAGACCACACTCATCGCAGAAAGTTGGAGTAGTATAGGTGGTGGAGATCCAGCCGTGCTTTACCTTGGCACAGTCCGCATCGAAATCCGTGTCCTTTCCAGGACACTTGAACATCACAAACTTGCAGCACTTCTGATGGATGTTGAACCGGCATTCTGAGGAGCCAAAAGTAAGGTAATATCATTTCACAATGAATATTCTTCTGTGTACAATGTACTTAAATAAATGTCACAGAAATCTATTAGGATTTCTAAATTTATGTTTTATAAATTTAAATTTAATACATATTACTGACTTGCTTAAATATATATTTATAATTTTAACTATAATAAACATTTTGTTATTTTTTCACAATGTATCCATGTGTTTAACAGGCATGCAGTAACGCCCAGTGAAATAACACCTATGAGGTTTGGGCTTTGTTTCACTGCGCGTTGTCGCATGTACCCTGAATAAAGCCAATGTGTAGGGACTTCTGTGACACCTTTATTTAATTGTTTATATATTTATTTTATAAAGAACTTTCAAACCTACCCTCGCACTGAAAGCCTTGCTTGCCGAAGCCCCTAATCCCGGCACGAATCCGCGGATGCAACAATGCAAAACGGAAGAACAGCGAAAAAACAAAGAGCAAAAACAACGAAAAGTGTGTCAGCAACGCAAGCACTAATTAAATTAACGATGGGCACCTAAAAGAGCAGCAAAAAATCGAAATCAGAATTCCTCACCAGATGAAATCCTTGCAGTGGCCGCAGTAAGTGGGATTCTTAAAGAACCTCACTCCGAACTTATGGCCATTGACCAACTCGAGACCCTTGCGCTTCATGGCGCCCTTCCTCAAGCGATTCTTCATATAGTTCACGATATTGGCCTCGCCAGTGATCTCTAGAAGATTACTCGGTCCCTTTCCAGCTACCGCTGCTCCTCCAGCTCCAGGAGCACCGGCTGTCGAGGATGGGAGCACAGTGGCTCCTGGTGTGGCAACAGCAGCCGCAGCCATCTCGAGATTAAATCAGGAAACCGGACAGCGAGGTAACTGTGTGATAAAAGCTGACTCAGACCGCACGCTCTCGAGCCCGTCCAACAACTGACCCGGTCGGTCAGGCGGAGACCCCAAAAAAGCCACGGGGCAGCCAACAAAGTGCACACACAAAGTTGAAGGCGAGAAAATGACAAAGATTTGAGCACAAGACGGCAGAGGAAATTCTCTGAAATGGTTAACGTACTACCCTTTAAAATATTTATTTATTTGAGCTTTTAAAGTAACTAATTGGATTAATAAATTAAAGAGTTCATCCAAAATTTATTAAAAGCAATTTCCAACAGAAAGGGTTTTTCAGATGTCAGAAGAGTATCCTTTGCTTTGAGAAATATATTCATTTTGCAATCATTTTCTCATGTGCAACGAAATATCTCTAAAGACCACTCATAAGAAAAATAATGCATAATTTTTTTTAATTAATTAATCTATTAAACAAGTGGTACGCTAGCACAAAAAATAATAAATCCATCGGCAAAGTAGTTAAATGAATATAAAATATAATTATCAATTTCAGCATTGCAAAAGGCTGTTCTACATATACAAAACCAAACTGCCTAAGTGAATTTTTCACACACAATATTTATAATGCACTTAAATTGAATTTCATTATTAAAACCTTTCCACTACCTACAACTTTAATTATTCAATCATCAACTTTTTGCATATTTACCTACGGTAAAACATCAATTAACTATGCTCAATTAAGGGGCCATTTAACATAATTCCATTTGGCTGCAATTAGTGGGAGATATTTTTATTAAATTCATACTCTTCAAAGGCATGGCAATTATGGTCAATGGTAATGTGAAACCAAAATTGCATTTTGTTTTTCGATACCTAATAAATGGGAGAACTTAAATCATTAATTTACATTTAGTTGTAGTTGCACAATGACAATTGTAAGGACCCCTGACTGCATAACTGTCCCTATAGATCTTGCGTAAAGATATAGGGGTGTCCTTTTCCCTTCGGCGTAATCATCACTGGCTGATTCTGTTAGCAGTACCCCCCATCACAATTATCTCCATCTCCCAGGGCTACCCGTCAATCGAACGGAGGACCCAAGAACTGCCAACTGAAAGATGAGAGCGAAGGGCCAAGAACCCTTACCAGCGATAAGTGTAAACAGTTTGGGTAAGGTCAAGAAGGTGCTTACCTGGCCAGAAGACAAACATAATCATCATCAGTGCCATCGCTCCGGCCAACTGCAGCAGTGACGTCAATGCAACAAAGGCGGGAAAACTGGGGAAAAGGGGGCTTGGAAAATTGTGATGTGCGGATGTGCTTGTGTGACTGTTGTCGATTGAGTATTTATACTCTGTGGCAGTTTTGATTAATTTATGCAATTGCTGGCAAGGCCCCCCCCAAAGCCCCCTTTCGACGCCCCTGCCTGCCCAGCTGGCTTGTAGTGCATGGGTCTAAAAATAGAAATAGAAAACGCAGAATTGAGCACAAAGTGCACACAGGACACAGAAGGACACACAGTGGCAAAGCAAACAGAGTGAAAGCGGTTAGCTGAAATCCAAGCCGAAGCAACTCAAAATGCTAGAAACTGTATGAAATGGGTTGGAAAATGCATTAAAGCGGAAATGAAAGAGCTTTGTCAGGGAAAAATGTCATTAGAGCAGGTCCAAGTCAAAGTATCTGCATCTGCAACTGCATCTGCAGCGGCACGCGTATCTGTATCTCAGAAGTGCACTCAGTGAGTCGACAAATATGCACTCGGAGATTGCCCAGCGCTGAACTACTGCACACCTGTCGGTTGAGGAAGGGATTCGAAAGGGGTTTGGGGCTATGAAAGCGGGGAGGGAATTGCAAATAGATTCCGTTGCCGTGGCAGCTTTGGGCTTCAATTTACGTCATCATTTCCATGGCGTCGCCAAACAATTTTCCCCTCCATTTTTCCCTCTTAGCCGTTTCACAAAAGCAGGCCAAGCCACAAAAGAGCCAGAGAGCCGGCTCTCTGCGTATAACACCTTTGGCTTGGCTTTACTTCCAGTTATTTACTTTGGCTTTTCCTTACTTTGGTTTCATTTGCTTTTGGACTAGGCTTTGTTTTTCCTTTTCGCCATTTCAACATTTGGCAATTCCGCTTGGCTACTTGTTAGCCGACTCTGTTGGTTTTGACCTGCGCCCTTAACACCTATTGATCTGCAGCGCACCTGTCGTGAGTTACTAACTGTATAACGACCTCTGGAGCAGGGTTTTTACGATCGCAGCTTAGGAGAAGTCACTTGGATGGAAGTTGGGATCGTAATAGACCTTTCATTCAATTACAACAACATTAAATGCAATACTATTATTTTGTTTCTTAAATGTTTTAAAAATATAACGAAAGTACAAGTTAAAGGAATAAAAGAAAGCTTTTCTTCTTCAAATACCATTTTTGTTTATTGTTTATATTTTAAAAATATAAAAGTAATACAAATAGTTGGAATTATAAAAAAACTTTAAAGCTCATCGTTTGGTACATAAAATAAGTTCTTTTTAAGATAAAATAAATATAAAATTTTAGAGTATTTTGTGTGCCCATCATTAAAATAAAATAAATACTAAATACTATAGTAGTCGAAACTAAAAGTAGTTCCTAATTCAATAACATATTAAAGAAAATTTATCTTTTAAGTTCACAATGTTATTAAAGTTGTGTGAGTATACATTATTATTATATACATATTATCCAACACCAAATAAAGTTTAGCCAAAACAATTATACAAATTAATTAAATCTAAATTGCCTTGCAAATTGTAACGATAGGAAGCGCAGATAGATAACACTTTCATAGGCAGCTCCACAAATTGTTCTGTACAATCGCGCCAAATACCGACTATTAGACAATTGTTGTCTCTTTTAAATGAAAATACTCGTCTAAACTGCAAATCACCCATACCCGGACATTTGTCGTGGTAAAAACCGCAGCAATTAGCCAAACAAGGGGCAAATGGCCTACCATAATTAACAGTGGCACATAAAGTTGAGCGGACACAATTGTGCGAGCTGACAAGACCGCAACAGAACGGCAAACTGGACACTAACCATTGACCAGTGGGGATGAGCTGGCTAAAGAGCCCCCAAACTTTGGGATTTGTTTATACGGCTCTCAGCAATGTCATGACGTTTGGCCCTGCGAAGAAAACCAGAGAGCGAGCAAATTAAACAACAAATTGGCCATATGCTGGGGGCAAGGCGGAGTACGGGTCGTATACGCAATGTGTTATACCAAAAAATCGCCGGCAAGGGGCAAAAAGCGCCTGCGCCGTCCAGCCAGTGGGAAAACTATCCCAAAAACTGGCTCTGGAAAATCCTGGCAGCCAGTCGCACTCGCAGGCGCTACGGGGCAGGTTGTTCAAATCGGCAGCATACGCGGCGTATACGTAACGTGGAAAAGGACACGCTTGTTTCGTGAGGCGAGTGAAGGTGCTGCAAACCCAAAACCATTTCCGAATCAATTAGAACCTTAAGGTGACCAAAAGACTCACCTAATTTTGGTGTCGAAATTTGTTTCATTTGGTGCAAAAACAGTTGGCGTAAACAAAACGTGTCCAAGGCACTGGAAAAGTCCATCCATCCATCGCTCTGCCTGGAAATTGCGTCAGGCTCACGCAGCTTCCACGAAGGTTTCGTGGGAAACTGGCGAAGCTGCTGTGCGACATTCACCGTTCTGAGTTGGCCCCAACTGCACGTGGGCCAGCTTTCAGTTTCGGTGCCATTTAACCCCTGAACACCAGGAACAGTCTATAGAATATATCATAAATAAATCCAGAAGTTAGCCTGTAATCAGCCAGGCAATCTTACCCATCCTCCAGTGTGTGTCGAGCCCTGTGATTCGCCTTTTGTGCAACTTTCTACCGTGTAATTGAAATTAATGATCATTGTGCGGCGTGGCTCTGTAATTCCAAGAAATAACACTGAATCTTAAAGAAATCGCGGCACTCTGCTTTATTAAAGTGTCACCCTGAGGGACGAATAACACTCAAAGTTTAGCGAAATTCATCTCGCAAATTGATGTGTGACAGCCAGGTGTGAAATATTGTCCAGGGAAAATAGCAAATGTTTCTTCTCCTTGGAGAAACAAGTGAGAGTGGGTCTCCAGGGCACTGATTTATTTATTTATGTGTCAATTGAGGAGGTTTTCACTTTGCTCTTGATTTCGAGAAGATTTTATTCTTGAATAAATTAAAACCAAGCAAAATCATCACGCTTTCTTCTTCCTTATTTTTTAATTTGATGAAACCGTTGTATTTTTTATACCCTTGGGATGGTATGATATATATCTCAATCTAAACAAGATTTGCCTTCAACGAACTCCCTTTACAGAATGCAAAATTGATTGCAGCTCATTGGCAGCAATTTAGAAAACAGAAAACAGCATGCGAAGGAAAAAGAAAAGTGTAATGATAGCCACCAGGAACCCAATCCGACTTTAGTGCCAATAGTGCCGTGCGAAATGCTGTTAGTGCCGTGTTGTTCGTGTCCATGTTGTGATTACATAATGAGACGCTGCTGAGAGTCAAAGTCAAAGGAGAAGTTGCCCAGTTCACCGAGCCCCAAGCCAGGCAGCCATATCTCAACTCGCTGCCACAAAACTCGGCCGAGGAAAAGGGAAGACAGAAAGACATCAAGGAAGGGCATCAAAGGGAGCCAAAGGATCCAAAGGAGGATGCCCTTCGGGCGCAAGTCCCCGCTGGAGGCCCTGGCCCTTCCCGGCGTAATGCTCGCCTACAAGTACAGCCAGTTCCGCCAGAGACGCCGGGAGGCCGCCAGCCGACGGGTCACCGAGCGCGAACTTTCGGCGCTGCACCATAAAATCGTGAGTACAAGTGGCGAGCATCGGAAAACAAAGTCATTTCTCAAAGCCAGCGGGTGGGTATATTCGTTTTGTAGCGGGTGTGCCTTACCCTAGGAACGGGAGTCTTGATTACCACTAACGGGGGTGGTTTACGAGGTCTGTAATTTCTGAAGATGTCACTTACATCCGTTGGCAAAAAGTTCCTAAAAGCTAGATAACATGCTGTAAATGAATAAACTTTATAGATTGATAGATAGATTCTTAATGGTCCAATGTATACTATGTTTTAATTTGTTTGATGCGAAAAACAGACTCAAACTATAACAAAATATGTCAGTGCTTCTTAATATCTAGCAATATTTTTATATAGTTTTTTTAATATTCGAAAATAATGTTGATTGAAATGTTAAATCGAAAACATATTCTTCCTTAAATAAAAAGCTATATGAGTTTATGAAAGGGTAAGGGTCGTTTTCTCGTAAGCACGTAAAACTAATAGGTAGTATGTATAAAAATTCTACTTTTCACATGCTTAAAGCCACTCTTAGTTTAATACTGTAATGGCATTTTATGGAAAATAAAATATTTCCTAATTATTTTTTAGATATTTGAAGTGAGTTGGGGGGGGGGTTAGAATAAAAAGAACTTGGCTTAGGAAGATAACATATTTAGTTATCAATTTATAGGTATTTAAAAAAGTTTGTGAGATTTGTTGGCTTAGGTATATATACTTCTAACATCACGATTTTTTCAAATGTACTTTATAATTGTATACAATTCATAGTTTGGTACTTAAAATGGGCTTGTGAGATTAGTTTGAACAAAAATTGTTTTGTTCAGTTATGTCAACATAAATAAAAGTATTTACTATCAAAATGTTATAAAAAACCTATGTTTTATAAGTTAACTTTTAAATATCGAACATACATCAAAGTACAGGGTACTTAAGAGTTCATCCTCCAAACACGTTCTTCATTTTTGTTTATGTACCGGCTTGGTTCTTTCGGATTCTTCGTCTTCGCCTGCGACCCATAAAACGTAACGCAATAAAAGAAGCGAAACGGAGGAGAAAACAGAGGCGGGTGTCTATCAAAGGCAGGAGAAAGGCGGGTGAAAGTCGGGGCGAAAGTCGGGCATCATTAGCCGCGTGGGGCGGTGGCAGAACTGCCCGAAAAAAACCCCTCGGCTTTGAGCCTTTTTAAAGTGCTGCTCTTCCTGCCGCATGTTTTCTGTTTGTTTTGGCTCCGGCCTCTCACATTTACAGCTGGCAAATAGTTATAAAAATAAAAACCACACACAAGCCATCAAACACATCAAAACAAGGTGAGACCGGGCTAAGCTCGGCTTGTCATGGCCCGCAAAAGTGGGCAATAAAAAACGCCATAACTCGTGCGATAGTTCACATGTGTGTGTATCGCTCTAAACTTATTTGCATTTTAAGGGTCAATAAAAAGTGTACAAGGAAGCAGGAAGCCAGAGTCAAAAAAAAAGTATAGCCATCGAGATTTCTTTGGCCATTTGCCGTAGCATTTGGCTATTTTATGAGATACACACTTTGATCTTAGCCATAAAGGGAGCAGGACGACTGTTATAGATGGTCATTGTGGGATATAGTATAAACCAGGGACTGAAGATAATAGTCATAAGATTAAACAAATCACAAGCTAAAGTGGACCACTACCATATATATGCATGCAAATTTATTATAACGGAATATTTAAAATATTAATATTATATGACAGTATTAATTCGAAGATCTTTCGTTCTTTATAAGGCATTTCTAAAATAAAAGTAAATAGATAGGTGATATGTTTTGTATTAAATTGTCATCGCAAGAATTCTTCATAGCCTTCTTAAATTATGTTTTCTATTTGCAATAAATTAGCCATAAATGCATTAATCAGCCCATTAAACCGCTGTCCAAAGAAGTTAGCATCATTAAGTATACCAACCATTCTATGAGCATTTCAGTGAAAAAGATTAAGTTATAAAGCCCGACTCATTTGCATTTGCTAGAGGACCGAAATGTGCAACGCGGCCGACTGCAAAGTGCTAAGTTCACTTGGGATTTTACGAGTCTTGTTTGAAATTTATGACTTTCAAAGCCATAGACAGCCACGCCCACTTGCCAAACACACTCACACACTCACACTCTCTTGTCCGCACTCAAGCACTTACATAAGAAGAGCAGCAGCAACAAAAACAACAATTGCCAAGTGCACAAACAGGAAAAAAAAAGTGAAATGAAATGCTGGCACTACTAAGCTGGGCTCAACTGTTTTGCATAAAATCTGATGCGTGACTGTAATTTCTCTACGGCGACCTTGAAAACCAGCTCACACACACCGGCACACACGCACACACGCACACCAGCACCCCAATACATTCGCAGAAACGGCCAAACACACGAAAAATGCTTTTATGCAACATTAAAATTCACAAAAGCCTGACCAGACTGCCTTCGCAAAATGCTTTTACAATTAAATGGCCCTTGGTTGGCAATTTCGCTGCCACTTTGGGCCGCTTGACTAGGGAATTCGGCCTGAAATTCTGAGTCAGACTAATTACATAGAAAGTCCCTTAAAACAAAAACTATCAAAATGCCAAGAACCATTTGAATAAATTAAAAATATATATAATATATATTCGTGTTATGGATTCGAAAGCCCAAACTGTCTCCTATAAAAATATTATTGTCCTTGTAGTGTATAAAGAGCAGAAGCCAAAGAGAAAATTTAACAATGTGCATTTACTTAAAAAAAAAATACAAACATGTTTAAGGTGCGATCGTCACATTATTTTACATCGTTGAGAGATCTTTTTGTTTGATAGTGCAAGAAGAGCAGTAACCAAATTGGACCTGCCTAAACGACCTTTAAACATAATGTCATTATTAAATGAGCCATTGCCAATCAAAATTTTCCACATTAGCAACCGTTAACTTAATATATAAATCCGTTCTCATTTCCTAAATGATCCTACAACAGTTTGCCCTACCAAAAATGAAGTCACCTCTCGTGTTCCTGGTCATGCTCTACATCGCTATAAAGCTCCCTTACTCTAAAGGACGTTAGGAACTTTTATACAATTATAAAACAATATGTTTTTAATAATAAAATTTAACTAAATTCGGTTAATTTATTATTGATCTTAAAATGTAGATCATCCTCATATATGTTTGCATACTTATTAACCTACAGTTACCATAGTAACCACATTTCTTTGTATATCTCAATCAAGGATAATGCTTACTATCACTTACTATGGCTATGTCACTTCTTTGTTTGTATAACCTGATCAAGTTAAAATGTCTTGACCATATCTTATGGCTGCCTTAGGAACATTTAAAAGTCGCTGTTATATATTTTTTATTATTTAAGTCTAATTTTTAATCGTATTAACTTCAGTTGGAACGAAATCCATAACAAATTGGATGGTTCTACCTTCAAACCTGCATATAAAAAGCAGTTAATATAAACTTACTGACATAAAAATAGAGCCATTACTAACCAAAATGAAGTTAAGACTTGTTCTTCTGGCAATTCTCTATATACAAATGTGGTGGGGAAAACGAAAAACAACTCCGAAAATAAAATAACAATTTTTTCATATTATTTAATTTAGGAATAAAAATGTGTGATTTTCAATTTCATTAAAACAAGTTATTTTAAAAAATATTTTTTCCCTACAAGCTCTTTTTTAAGGATAGAGCTAAGACTCTGTAAAAACACCATATATATTTATCGAAATTCGAGGGTTATGTCGAACAGGCTACAGATCCTGGAACAGGCTCCATAAGAACCTGACACATACCACACAAGTATGCCAGCTGAGCCCTGCTAAGCCCATGTAATCCCGCCGAGGGGAGGACCCCGCCGCACACTCACACACTGACGAAAAGTCACCCACACACAGGCGGAACACGCACACTTGGTGTCGTTTCGTAATCCCCAAAAGTATGCAGCGACAAAATTGTCATTTACTTCGTGCTGAGAGAACCGGAAGAATCCCAAAAAACGGGGCGCAGAAGCGGGCCATTCGCGATACGTTATTAATGCAAATACGCATAATATATAACGAGTTGATTAGCTGAGCGCAAGGGGAATAGTGCTGAAAATGGGCCCAAAAATGGGACTGGGCCTCGGCAGACAATCCTTTCGGCGGCTAAAAGGAAAACGCTGTCAAAACCAACCTCACCCCATCTGAAATAGAAGTCGCGTGACTATCCCACATCAGCACGAAAAAACACGAAAACTGTGAAAACCCAAAGCCAGACCTCAAAGAAGGACCTCTAACTGGACATTTTCGGACAGGCAGTGGAAATAAAATTTATAATTTACTTTGCAGAAAGGCCGGCGGGCGGAAGTTGTCACCTGGCGTGGCATTGGAAATAGGTGCAAATTAATGTAGCCCCAGTCTGCGGCAAAGGTCAAACTCTGCCCTTTGCCTGGTATTTTTTACACCCCTCTTTTTTGTTTGAGCCCAAATTGAAATGTAGGCAAGCTGATACATGATTATTAGCTGCTGCTGCAGTTCCTGCATTTCGAATGTCCTTTGCAGTTCTCTCTATCTCCATCCCGCTTGACCTCTCGCCATCCAGCCCTCTCTTTCTACGCCCCCCGACCCCTGTGAGTCTTTAGCAATAAATGACCGCACAATTTGACTTGGCACTTGCAACGTGCACACAAAAAATTGGACAAAAATCCAGCTTAGTCATCCAAATGCCAAAACAGTTGCTTTGGCTTTGGGCTTGGCTTGGTCGACGGGTTCCTTTTGAGGTCCTTTCTAAGTTGCCTTGGCATTGGCTGGTGGTTCCATAAGGGGTGTGGCAGTCTGGGCCAAAAGGGGTAAATATATTTCGATCGTAGAACATCTAAGTCGTAAAGCTCAAAACTGGTCAGAAGTTAAATCTCATTATGATTGTTAATACTTCAGTATGGATAACTTATTATCAACGATCAAAAAATATAAATTCAAAATATGTTTTCTCCTTTTTCTTAAGAATATCAAAAAATATTGTG